TGCAGCTGAGAAGCTGTCACGAAATTTATTGACGCCAATAAATCCTGCCGTACATATACGCGTTTTTTTCAATTTGTACTGGGGAACAAATGCTTCGGATCAACGGGGGAACTGTCGTGTACCGTCTGCTATGTGGTACGGACCCACTTCTGCGCTGGTCCAGCGTACCTACCGCGTGGCCTATTTTAGGGGGCACCAAATCCCGTCATAGAGATTCGATAAAACTCGGTCTAGGATAAGAGGTGAAGACAGCAGAATTGTTTGGACTTATCAGTTCACTCTCGGCGATTGAACGAGTGTTCCTGCAGGTGACTCCTGTCAGGTTAGGTCAGCTTCGGGTTTATAAAGGGAAATAAAGGCAAATGCCATTGAACTCCCTATTGGTACAGAGCAACTATGAAAGGCATTGGTACAGTAGAAAATTTCAAAAGAGTGGCGATGACTGTAAATGGAACTGAGTAAAAAGAAGGGCAGACAGTGAAAAATATTCTTAAGCACTGTTCTTAAATTCTAGAAGTTTTAATGCCATTTGAGGGCTTTTTAAGGAGAAAAACTGCCGCTCGTGGGGAGAAAGTATAGTCCTTCAACTCAAACAAATGTACTCTGCTGCGTCTGGGATATCTAAATCCGGTACCCGATACGCGACCCTACTATCCGAACGGAATTCCACTCCGAAAAGCAGAAATGCACAAAGATCTCGAGATTTGGATGACAGAAAACCCCAAGCCTCCTACACATTATTGTAAGGCAGATAGAGTTGTAACTCCAATGTTGTATACCATCAAGCGGGCAGTCGCCGTTCTCTAGTCTTTGATATTTTTATGAGCCCGATCTTGGATACACCATTCAAGCCAGCAAACTGTGGATGCAGAAGGATTACAACCTACTCGGAGGGATACAACGGCGGGCTACAAAATTAGTAAGAGGCCAAGAGGCACTGCCATATGAAATCCGTCTGAACAACCTTAATCTCCATTCTCTGAGTTATAAGCAGTTACGCGGAGAATTGATAAAAACATTCCGTTCAGTGCATGACTTGGCCTGCGTTCTCCTGCATGAAGACTTTTTTCAATTCACCATTGCAAAATATGTCCGGGACAGCCCTTCGTGTGCCACAAGGAAGATTTGATGTGTGGAAGTATTTTTCCTCTCTAACCGGGTCGTGGAACCGTGGAGTAACCTACACCAGGCAATTGTTATGACCCAATCTGTGGAGACATTCAAGCACTGACCTGATATCCATATACCACAGCAAAACTTCGACTATGTGACTAATTAACACCAGCAAACAATGCAACTCTGTCTACATTCACTTGACTGCAATTTCTTTAAATGGTTTTTGGTTCTTGAGTGATTTACGTGAAAAATAGGGTTTTCAAGGCCGTAAACCTACACCGTCTCTTAGACTACGCAGAGCAAATTGTGTGCTTCGAAATCCAGACGCAAGCGGCACCTCGGTTATCCCCCCAGCCAGAAAGAAGTAAAATTAGGAAGGGGAGGTGGTGGGGCTTACCGCAAAATTAACAGGTTTTGCACCATTTCCTTGCCAAGATAGTGATCAATCCGGTAGATCTGGGGTTCAGTGAAGAGTTTGTTGAGGCGCTCTGACAACTCCTTGGCGGATTCCAGATCACGACCAAAGGGTTTCTCAATGATGACTCGGGTCCATACCTCGGGGCTAGGGAGGAGAGGAAGGAAGAAGAGGACAAAGTCTGCGTCAAGGCACCACACGCGGGAAAAATGAGATCGGTGCGAGTTAAGGCAAGCGGGCTCACGTAGACAGAAGTGGCTACTCAAGAGAAACCGAGTCTTTCCCCCACGATGCGGGTGTTGAAAACAATATCACACACCTTTTCCCCCTTAATAGTGCCTGTACTTACGTACTGTACTCGTACTTGATACGGCTGGGATCGTGCCTGACCTAGCCAGCCTCAATGATGTCACTGACGGTACCTTTCCAAGCGTGACGATTGCCGACAGCTGATCTGGAAAGCTCCACCCATTCTCGTATCCAGTAACGGAGACCGAAAACCGAAGGTCCAGGAATCGCTTCCATGTCTTGACGAACGGTGTCGAGCTATGTCTTTAGTTGCCCACCTCATCGACGCCTCTAGGTGGGCTGCGGCGCCAGATCTAGGGCAGCATAGCAAAGCTCTTGAGTCGGACGGTGGCGAACGTGTCAAAATCACTTCAGTCGTCTTTTGTAGAAGGCCTCAGATATCCTCGCGATACAATCACAGCGAATGCGGACTATCTCATTCGCAGGATGGCCCTCAGGCAGCGGTGGTCAAATACCTCAAGTCTTTGCTCGTCTTCCACTCGAAAAGCCCAGCATTCACCCTCCCGTAGAGGAGGACTGTCTGGACGGACACACGGTACACAAGGGTCTCCGTGGTAATGAAGATGTCGCGTCGGATCCATAGGCACTTTCGGAGGATTGAGAATAC